CAAAACCTCTTGCTGTGACCCAGATGGAATTAACAGAGTAGTCTCCTTATTTCTAATTGTTAGATCATCCCTTTTTAACTCCAGCAAAGATGACTTGCAGATTAAACCCCTTGGGGGTCAAGGCAGTTGTTCTGTTTGTACAGCAATTAGCACAGCAGGATCCCAGGCCACAAATGGCCTCCAAGGCTACGTCTGTACTGTCGAGTTAGCTCAAACCTCATTCTTCCTGTAAGCCAAACTTCCCAGCTCTCAACACCGCCTACACAGAGGTTTTTACTCTGGCCTAGCCAGGAGCACGGAGTGAGCTCACACCTCTTGTAGGGACCAGCTCAGGCTTGAGCTGTGCTCTACCAACAGCACAGATGGCAACAGCTTTGAGCTCTTCCCTCTAACAGGGGTCACCCTGAAGGTGCCAAGGACTGAGCTGCAATGCTCAACCAAGTCTGCACCATCTTCACTTGCAAAGCAAAGATGAGGTGAAGTCCCAGGTCTCAGCCCACCACCCCAGCTCCTGGGAAATCTTGCAGAAATGAAGGTGTATTTGTGAGATCCCACGCAGAGCAGCAGAGCACAGACTGCTTGCATTGTTGCAGCTCACAAAGCAAGACACCTTTGCCTTGGGTGAAAGCAAAACAGCAGCTCAAAGAATCTAATGGACCACATGGGTTTTCAGAAGGAGTGTCTGCAAACCCCATCTGACAACACAAGAGAAGCAGTGCAAACAGCACTAAAATAACAGCTGCTTTCCCAAGCCTTTACTGCAAAAGAATGAGGCAACAGCTCAATAGTGTGATTCTGATTCTGCCACATTATGGACCTCCAAGACCAGTCAACTTTAATCTAGTGCAAAGGTCTAATGAGAGTCAAAGAAAATCAAAGACAAAAAACAAGGGTCACAATGTGGCTAATTTAACCAGAATTATAATAAAATCCCCAGCACTTAAGAGGAAAAGCTCTACAAGAAACCATGCAAGTCAAATGGAAGAGACTGGCTGAAGTCTTTGACCTGTCTTACCTGACATCCAGCTGGAATAGCATACAGTACCCTCCTTTCCACGAGGATCATGCTGCCCCAACCAGCATCTGAGCTCATCAGCTCTTTTTCAAGCAGTCCTAGCATGCTCCCTGCCACTCCCGGTTTCCAATTATCCATGTATTTAGTTTTCAAATTTTACATTATATATTTTGCCTGGGGCACAGTAGATCACTTACCCTTCTCTTATTAGCTCTCTGTTTAATTACAGTTTAATGTGAATTGATCTTTACATTAATGAGTCTGTAAAGAAGATTGATTTTCTGCAAGAGACTTTTCTGCTCAGTTTGGCAGCAGAGTAGTCCTATTGATTTCGCTTTCCCCAGCAAATACACAGCAGTGTCACTGCATCTTCTTGTGAATCAGCTAATCCTATTTCACACTCCTTTACTCTAAAAATCCCTGTTCTGAGTTCCTTGTTATTGGTGCTTATTCAGAGCAAGATGATGGGGCCAAAGCATCTCAAACATCTCTGCCTGTTGCTAACACACAGCTGACTGCTGTGGGTCACTGTCTCCTTTGTTCCTAAATGGATGGAGGCTTAAAAGACTTACAGTGAAAGAAATGAAAGTTATTTTTAAGTGCTTAATCTGTTAACTTCCTTAATTCCCAGCCAGCTAAGGATGTGGCAGAGTGTGGTCTGTTTACCATGCTTGCTCCAGGTCTGGTTAGCGCTCTCCACTGAGCCCCACAGCTGCCCAACAGCCTGTGTCAGAGGATGCTGACTAAATCAGGCTTGGAGCCAGGGCAGAGGACAAGGATCCATCTCCAGCATCCTGTCCAAATGCCCCAAAACCCCTCCAGGATGCAGTTACCCACATGCAGAGAAGACAGGCCCCAGAGTAAGAGCTGAGCTGGTGCCTGCTCAGGGGTTTGTAGAAACAGATAATAACTGACCAGTGCAGGGCTGATTGCAGCTCCTTTAACCTGGCAAGCCTAAGAGTTCTTCCACACAAGTTAGTGAGGAAGTTGGATATAAACAGACTAAGTTCTGCAAATAAATGGTTTCTTCCATCATCCCTTTCCCTACCAGATCAGGTAACAGGGTCTTAGAGAGCCTTCAGAGTTAACACACTGTAGCTGCACTGGGATGGGAAATCCTCGGCCAAGGGCAAGTCAGTGAAAACATCCTGCCATCAACTCCCAAATGTCCAAGTCTAGGAACTGTAACTAAATTACAAATGCTGTGGGAATTTCAGGCAAGGTTCTCCTCTCAGCTATTCCGATGTAATTTCGGAATGAATCCAGATTCAGTCTCTCCCCCTCCCAGCTGAATTTCCTGGCTTTTGTTTGCACTAACAGATGTTTGCATTTAATGTCTGTCTTTATTTGGTAACCCGTACATAGATTATTTTTCCCTTCTGTTCTATTAAAAGCCTTATCAAGTCCCTTATGTTTGCTCTTGCTGAAATGAACGACTTTGGCAATATTTTCAGTGTGCAAGGCAAACAAACTGATTCTTCGAGGAATAACTAAACTGAACCAAACTTCATGGCAGTATATTAGGACAAAACATTTTTGATACATATGTCTGCAGCCTGGGACATCCAAGGGCTTGCAGAAAGCTTTGAGAATTTTCTCTTCAACAGATTCTCACATGCTTACATATATACTTAACTGGCCTGTGGTTCTCACACCATGTGGAGTCAGGCAAGTTTTGGGTGATGGAGACAGATATGGAAAACCCAAAAGCAGGGAATGCAAAGCAAAGCTCATTTAAAAAACAAACAAACAAACACAAAACGACACACAAAACAATAAACAACAAAAAATAAAACAAACAAAAAAAACCCAACAAACTTTATGGGAAATTTGAGTTCAGCAGTATTCTTTCTCCCAGTTCCAAAAGTGTGTTCTCCTGTTTAGGAAGAGTAGGAGATGAAGTAACTCATTCAGAAGGGCTGTTCTGAGTGACAAATACACAACCCTTGCTTTTATAATACATTAACAGTCCTTTGGAAATACTTAACCACATGCAATATACAAAACCTACTTCAGAGGTTTGTGAGGTAAACACACTTCACACATTTCTAAACACTGAAAAAAAAAGGAGATGTATTTATTTTTCTTTAGCATTAAGAATACACTGTAACACTATACACTTAAACATAAACCAGTTTCTCAGTACACAAGTCTTCATTATGAGTCTTCACCCTGGGTTTGGTTTGGCAGCTTCCCCAATTATTACTTCACAGATTGGAAGGCCAGAAGAAACCAATATGACCATATAATCTGATTCCTTACATCACACAAGGCTAAGTAACTTTATCACCAATTTGCCTATCAAGCCCATTAACCTAGTGTTGAACTAAAGGACCATCTTTTAGGAAGCAAACCAATTGATTAAAGACTCCCAAAGAGGGAGAAAACTTCACTTCCTCAGCAAATCATTCCAGTGTGAGTCAGCAACATCGACTGAAGCAGGTACTTTAAAACATCTTTCAGGTTATTTTTATTGCTGATAAAAATTAAAAGGAAATGCAAGGGGGGAAAAGAAGTGGCATTCTCTAATACAAGCTAAACAAAGAGACCCTTCTTGCAGAAGAATGACAGCAGCATTACAAATCCTGCTATCAGAGTTATTTATGTGTAGCAGCTGAGGAGAGCAATTGAGATTTCTGGAAAGTGATACTAAGCAGGTTTGTTCAGAATACCATCCTTTTATCATCTGGCTTCGTAGCTTCTCCTTCCTTCTGCACCACTCTGAAATTTCAGAGGAGCTGTAAATCTACTGCCTTCCACCAGTCATTATTCCTCCTTTCCAAACTGCTTATTTCATTTCAGGAATAAAAAGCCCAAAGCTCCAGCAATTTGGTTCTTTGCCAGCAGCTAAATTAATAGCAAAAATAACAACAGGGGCTTGTGGAACTCGAAGCATTTATAGACTTCATGAGAAAGAGAAGCCGATCTGGGGGGCCTAAAACTATACCCTGGATGGCAAATTCTATACAAGCTTTCCAGCCATGAATCAGATTTCTGGAGGTCTTTTTCAAACCCTGGTGCACAGCACCAATGTGGCAGAGCAGTAAGTCAACAGATCAAGGCTGCCTCAGAGTAAAGTGAGAGCCTTTGGAGCAAGAGAGCCCAATCAGCTGGTGGTGTGGTCACAGGCATTTTCCACCACAAGAAGTACCAAATCCATGGAAAATACAGATACCTGCCTGCAGGTGTACTGCAGGGCCATGCAGGCTGGAAGCCACCACCTGAACTGCTCCAGCCCTTTGCTGGAGTCCCTGTTAGCTACAAACACTTCCCAGGAACCTGGGAGGTATCATGCATACCTCAGCAAAATTCCTTCTCAGTGCACATTACAAGCAGACACATGCAAAAATAATTTTAGAAATCCACACTCTTTAGGTACTAAACAATTTAATATTTTATTCCTTTCAGCAGCAGCATCGACCCAAGATCCTTGGTGGCCGGTACACAAGGGCTCTCAGGTGTCTGATGCTTCTGTGGTCATCTAAACTACCAAAGTTAGAACTTCAAACCTTCTGCAGATCCTGCTTTACAATCACTGCTCTCTCAAAAGAAAGTGTTACAAAGTTGAAAGAGACCATAAAAACAGGTCTAGAATGAGTTCCCAGGAAGATTAAGATATGAATAGTCTCTGGCTTTAGGAGGGAAGAAGAAATTACCAGAACAGGGCCAGGGAAAAAAAGAACAATAAAGGAAAGGTAGAATTTAATAGCACAAGTATGAGCTAATGGTTGAAACTCAAAGGCAGATGAGGAAAAAGAAGTTTTATTCAACCTGTGGAATTTACTGACGTAAGTTACCACTGACCATAAGCACAACACACAACCTCACACAAATCACACCACTCCAGACGATGTTTCTTAATTAAGGCGCCAACAAGCCAAAAACCAAAATGTAGAGTCAGCAGGAAGGAGCGTGACACTCATGAAACTGAGAGGCAGCTAAAGCCACCCCACAGAGAGCCCAGAGCCCAGGGACAGTGACTTACAGGTGGAGGGAGCGGACGCTGGAAGCGGCGGATCCCAGGGAAGGAATGGCAGTCAGCTCATTGTTGTCCAGTCGCCTGCAACAAACAGAAAATGAGGGTTAAAGCCAAGCAGCCTGTGCCCAAGCACACAGGAGCAGGGGAGGGCTGGAACTGGGCTCCATCTCAAGGGCTTTGTCTGGACCTCTGATGGCCATACACGAGAGCCACCATCACTGCTTCCACCGTATTGTCTTTACAAGAGCAAGGCCTTTTTCCCCCCTGCCACCCACTCCCTAAAGTGCCAGGCAGGAAAGCATTGTGCCACAGCACACATTGTGCCACTAGCCTGTGTTTCACAGAGTAAAGCCTGAGACAGGAGATTTTTGCACCTTAAGGCCAAGTGTAAGGAATTTAACCCTTTCCCCTAGCTGCAGCCCCTGCTCACCCCACCTCCACACCAGCTCAGGGCCTGGGGGCACAACTCAGTGGCATCCTCTCCATACCAGGACCAGGGTCTGGAAATCCCAGAGGGGTTTCCCCACAAAGGCAGCAGCAGGCAGTGCTGGGCACAGCAATGTCACCAGACATGCCCTGCTCCAGGCAGCTGGGGAGCACAGAGAGCCCCCAGGGTTAATGGAACCGCAGGCCCCCCGCTCCTGCAACCACCAGCACAGAGACGTCCCCTGCAAGGGCCTAATGCTTGAAGTCTTTTTCTGACTGAAAACAGATCCTTGCCATGTGACTGGCTCTTCCTTGCTTTAAAGGGCCCTTGTTTGTATGGTGAATTAGTCAATTAATTACTGTAACAGTCGCTCGTCTGGCTGCTTGAAAAATTACTGAATTTCTCAGCCTTTCTTGCCCACTCCCCTCTCATGCTGCAGTGACCACAGCCAAGCCCTGGCCAGGCTCCCCAGGACCCCCAAACCACCTCTGATCCCATTGCTCCTGCCCCAGGCAGAGCCTTGCTGGGTCACTTTGGGCCTTCCCTTCTGCAGGGAATCGTGAGCAGATCAGCATTTGGGTGCAAAGCACAGCATCCCAGAGCTGAGGGGGCTGAGCCACAGGCACGAGTAGGGGCAATCCTAAATTATGTTGGGGGTTTATTCCCCCCCCTCTTCTTTCCTTTAACACCATTTTTGGCAGGTGGGAGAGGGCAGTGGCACATTCATCCCAGAACTTCCCTTCTGGCTCCTCTGAGAGGAGGCAAGATATTTGATTTCACGACGAGTTCCAAGCACTGCTGGGATAAAAGCTTTCCTCTGCCTCTGACATTAAACCCATGCCTTAAAATGTAAGGGAAAAAAGCCAGATGCATTGCAATTCAGCAAGCAGCTCCACTCTGCAACTAAAAGCTCACTGTTTCTCATATTACAATATGGTCTAGAGCTTCCAAAGGTACAGAGAAAGCTGGAAAGAGCATTAAAATGCTTATTTGAGCATGTTGTCATTAACATCTAACTGAGCATCTTCTGGATAAGAAGCCTGGGTCAGCTCTGGTTAAGCAGCTCTGACACCAACCAGCATCTAACAACTGGTCATACCCTCCTCTGACATAAGTGTGATGTTCATGTATCAGCCTCCTGTCATGTCAGGAATCAGTCAGAAGTGGTTCTCCCACCTCATTTTCTCTCTTGGCTCACAGGCACCATTTGCTGACACAGAGGAGACAGCCAAGCTCTGTATTTGCCTGGGATTTTCCCTATGTAAAGGAATTGAAAAAGGAAAAAAAAAAAAATAAAAAGGGGGAAAAGCCCCTCAAAACAGAACAGCTGGGCTCAACAACTTTAAACTTTCAGTCTCCTTCCCCAGCCCTCACCTTTGACGACACAAACCCTCTGGATGCTGAGGCAGAGGAGGAGGGGGGGCCACCCATATAAAATATTTACAGTCCAGTTGCCAGGCTAGTGTCAAGCTGAAATGGAGCCTGCTCAAAAATAGCACAGCTCTCCAGAGCTTTCAGTGAAAGGCACTTTAGAAAATAAAAGGTGAGTTGTTTGGAGAGGAATTTTAGCATGGTTACTACTTTGTTTGCTACCAATGAGCTTGGAAAGCCTGAGAGCCACAAAACCCTCAGTTTGGTGGATTCCATGAGCCATATGGCCTGAGGAAACACACAGCAGCACCCTCCATCCATCCTTCCAACCAAGGAAGGAGAATGGATGGACACCATGGGATTGTCATCAGATGAAGGCACCAAAGGGGATGAGGGAAAGACCAAGTGACCTGAAGGAAAGTAATGTTCCAGGTCCAGCCCTGACCCTGGCTTCCCTTCCACCACTTATTCCAGAGCAAGTGGGATCACAGGGCTTTGCGTCACTTTGAGCCACTAAATTTCATCTTACATAGACTTACAACTTTTCTTAAAAGCTTCTCACAAAGGCCATCAAAACAAACCACACAAACTACTGCCTAAACTCAGGGGAAGGGAAGAGTGTAGGGTAAATTCTGCTAAGACTTTATCACAATCTCAGTAAAGCAAAGCAGAGCATCAAAGATAAGGTATGAAATTTAAATCTTTTGGCCTGCAAATATTTTCTTTAAATCAAGGGAAAACAAAATGTTTGAAAAATACACCACAGTAATTATTCACATGGAGAGACACACACACAGTTTTAAGCCTTGTGTAATGCTCAGGAACCACAGACACCACGTTTGAAGCATCATGGGAGGTTTCAGGTCTTATCAATGCATCTATTATTTGGGGCAATCTCTTTCCCTGAGGGTGCCTTGGTTTGCCCAGCACAGCATGCACAGAGAAACACTGACTTGCTCTCGAGACATGCCACAGCATGATGCTTATTTCATGAATGTTTGTGAAGTGCTTTAAAAAAGCCCTCAGAAAGAAGATGTTCTGGCAATATAGATGTGGTTCTCCTTGTGAAATGAAGTTTATTTCAGTGGTCTGTGGTTTAGCTGTTACTCAAAAGCAACCAAGATTAGTAGATAGGGCTTTTAATAGAGCTTCTCCCTCACACTTCCCAGAGCCTGCCTTCCAGGCTCTGCTCCAGACCTCTGCCTCCCCTCCTGTCTCCCATTTCTGACTGCTCCCTTTCCCTCCTACCCACTCTTCTGCTGTCTCCCTATTCCCTAACCCTGTCTTTCTGACACAGCAAGCAACTCTTATCTGCCCATTGCTTTGTGGGCTGCATTACTTATCTCCCCAGAAACTCTGACACCTTTTTACAACATTTAATTGTTGGTGCAGGGCTTGTCCTGCTCTACACACGTGCAGCACTTTGCTCAAGGGAATTCCCTACCTGGGGAATCAGAAGCCACACACATTTCCCACCCCATGCTCCCTGATGTCACACGCCTTCAGGCACTTCCATGAATAAAAGCTAAGCCACAGTCATGTTAGGATAATTTTAAAGTCTCTCGGGATCAGGGCTGCAATTCTCTTCTTTAAGCACAGAGCAATTTAAGGCTTTCCACAATTAAAAGGGAAGCTGAGAAAACAGATCCTACAGACAGTGTTCTTCTGACCCACATCACTTTCTCTCTAAACATCGTGAAGAGCTGATTTCAGAGCACTGCAGTCACTTCTGATATACATTCCTCACTTAATCATGATTCCCAGCAAGTCCCTGCCATTCATGTAAACAGAGGAGCCAGGGGCAATGAGGCCAGGAGAGAGATGCTGCGTTAATCCCCACAGTCCAATCCAGCAGGCATCAGTCAGAGAGAATTCCACTTTTTGCCTATTTAAGAACCACAGGATCTGGTCCCTCCATGTGTCCCAGAGCCAACACTTAATGAAAACAGACAGAGGACAAGAGAAAATGCTTGATAGAGCAGAGTATTGTTTCTGAAAGGAAATGTTTCTTCATTTTCCCATGAGGCATCAGTAGCTCTTCAAACAGAGCCCAAACCTCAAGTATGCCAGCGATTCAGCAGGCAAACACGAGCTCACTACCTCAGCCCACCGCCTGCAATTTCAGTCACTTTCGGTTTTTAAAGCCCAGAATCAGAGCTCCAGGAACCCCTGTGAAGGGCTGACAATGCAGCCCCTCTCTGAGTGAAACTGCTGAACCTTCACAGGTTCCTCATCTTCCTTCAGAGATCAGGAGCTTGGAAAACCTGCAGTTCCCTCGAATAGGTTTCTTTTACCAGCAAGGAGGGTCTGGCACAGCCACTCAAACCTTCACCAGCTCCTCTTTTGCCCACCAGAGCAGAAGACAGCTCTGCTGGTTTAGCCTCTTCTAGCAAGACTTCCAACAGAATTTGTTCTGATTCCAAAAGGAGCACAAATGTCTGAGAGAGGAGGAGACACAGTTAAGTGTTTTGTTATCCACTACACTACACCTTTGTTTCCTGGGAACCAACCTGGGCTAGGTTGGCATCAGGTATCACAATCCAGGCTGTTCTGCCTTGCTTCAGGGTTATGCTTTCAGCAAGGAGCTTTGTGTGTATGTTCAGGTGTGCTGAACTGCTCCCTCCAAGCATTGCACAACACAGGGAGGCAAACTCCAATGATTTCCAATAACAGCTCTGCTGTTTGAATTGGATGTTGTGTTCTGCTAATTGATTAGTTTTAAACAAACAGCCCAGGTACAACATGGAGGAGAAAAAACCTCCACACCAAGTCAGACCCACTCATTCAACTTAGCTAAAGGAAGGTACTGTCTTAGGAAACGAGATACAATTTCCTCACAGCCCTGGAAAAATACAATTAAGACCTCTGAAGGAATACTTACACTTCCTGCAGGTTCGACATCTCTGCAAAGGCAGAAGGATCAATCTCTGCCAACTTGTTGTAGCTCAGGTTTCTGTTAAAATAAAAGAGAGTGGGATCAGCAAACTGCAATCATCCTGCTCAGCAAAACAATCATCCTAATTATTCTGGATTGCACTAGGAGGGTTTGAGTTTTGGGTTTTTTAAAAGAACTTAAACAGGAGAGCAGCACTTTTCTGCTGAATGCATGAGTGAGTTTATTTCATGACAAAAACGTTATCTAGCTCTCCCCAAGGTTCTTGCTCTTTTGCATTAGATTAGTGTGGTTTTAATTTGTCTTCATATTACACAATTACATTTATTATTCTACTATTGGTTATTCACAACCACAAAACTAATCACAGATGAATAGGATATTTCCTGACAAATTAAAATCTGAACTGAAACAATCAACAAACCTTCCACTAAATATTTTATAGCCATATTCACATGGAGTATTTTTTACACCACTCTGTGTTACATACAAAATACATATTTATAGGTATGTACCCTTACTATGTGTAAACAAAATATATTCTACATTTTCTAACAAGATGATATAACTAGTCTATCACTAAATGTTTTTTTTAATCAGTGAATACAGTTTTCAAGCCACACAGTAGTACACACTTTGGTCCTCAACAAACCCAGCAGACACTTTCCAACTATCCAACAGCCTAAATCTAAATCGTATTCTAGCACTGATGGATGACAAATGGGTTGTGCTGTATTATCTGAAAGCAGCCTGGTGGGAAGAGCAGATTTGCCTCACAGCACATCCAGAAACACATCCAGAGCTCAACATTCTTCAGGAAGGAACACGCTGCAATGATTGCTAGGGACAGCAAAGAGGCAAAATGATGCAAATTAAGTGCCAACCCCGGGAAACAGAAGAGCTTTGCCATGCTCTGCTGTAGCATCAGGCAGTGCAACAGCAGAGTCTTCCCTCCAAGATATGCACTCTCAGCACACCACACAGGACAGGTCAAACCTGCAGCTAGGGACCAACCAGATCAATTAAGACCAAGTGACTAATGATGCAGAAAGTAACAAGTGCTTTAATTACCATTCTGTATGCAGCGCTGGCATGTTTCTGTGAGTGTGTAATCTAAAGAGGGAGGAGGCAAATTGATGGGTGGTAGCAGAAAAGCAACCACAGTAAATTGTAAGGAAATTGTGAGGGGGACTTCTTTAATTTTACTTTGCTCCACGCCCTGCTCTCAGATATTACCCTGGGTAAAATTCAACCCTCCTGCCTCCTCTGCAGGGAGGTTACACCCTCTTACTGCACCTCTGAACACAACCCAAAAGATTCATGGCCTGATTTCAGATAAGCCCTCAAACACTGAGCTGCTTATTCAAACCACCAAGCCAGTCTGACTAGAAAACTGGCCAATCTTCCATGGTTTGGGCTTTTCTTTGCCTTAAAACTGTGCCCACAGAAAGCAAGCAGGTCTGGAACCCAAACAGGTGAACAGGACCTAAGTCACCGAGGCACCGACTGAACTTTTACCAATGCTCCATGACCCAAGGGCTGAGGCACACACAAAGAAAATGCAGCTGCCAGAAGAGCATTGATGGAAAATACCTCTTGAAGTGCTCACACTAAAACACTGCACTCTGTGGCAATGCAGAGAAAAATCCAGGCTCGCAGCAGCCTTACAAACACCAAGACTTGAAAGACTACAAAACTTATCAACTTTTCGTGATTAGCAGGAAGTGATAAACACCTCTTTCAAGCTAAAAACCAGATATTGATCACCTGCCCTCTTGTAATGCATTTATGGGAAGTCCTCAAAGCGTTCCCCTGCATGAATCATTTGATGGCACTCACATCACACCATTCCCCACCATTTCAGCTCTGAAGGCAGCTCCTTGCATCATGCCTTAAATGTTCAATTTTTTGCCAATACATGCTGTGGAAGAATGCTCTACAAATCAACAGGCTGGCTCTTAACAGAGCCTAGAACTGAAGCTATACAGGAGTGTAAAACCTAACCAAGCATCTCAGTTTAAAATATGCTGTCCTGTAAGCCCCTACTGTCTTTTAAAACACTCAAGAGACCTTTAAATCAATACCAGCCTACAGCAGATATCCATTTCACTATGAACTCAAAGGCATTTATCTAAATAAAAGTCAAACTACAGTTTAAACTCAGAGTGTGTTTGAAAGCCAAGTCCATATTCATAGCACAATTACGAATTAAAGCGCAATTTGCCCACAGATTACATTACTACTTTTTTTTTCTTTAAACCACACAGTAAGATCAGGTTGGAGCTTGTCCCTGCCTGATCTACAGGCAAAAAGAGAAAATACGACAGGTAACATCCTACAGGCTCAGCACAATAAAGCCAACACAGAAATACCAGTGACAAAGTAGAAGGGGGAAATACAGCCAGACACAATGGTGTATGAATCCATCTGTTTCCATGTATTTCTATGCCTTTTACTGCAGCCAAGCATTACATTTTTTAAGGTAATGTATTTCTCCTCAATGCATTCCTCTGCAAGAGGCTAAGAGGTTATTTTATGAAGCAAGAAACAAGAATACATGCACCAAAACTGATCATCCCTACACTTGCCAGAGGGACCAGATCCCTGGCTTAGCCTGTACTCAAGCACTGAGTGACACTGATGTGAACCTCCAAAGTTCACAAGTGAAAAAACAAAGATCTCCATAAATTAAAGGATTTCACGGCCACAGTTTAACGCCACCCAAAGTGACTTTCTGATTATTGCTGCTGCCATTCAGGACATTTGAACATCAAAGTCACTGCACAAGTAGCTGGTTCTTCAGATAGCACAGATAGATCTTGCTGCTCTAGCAACAGAAAGACTTCCCAATAGTTGCTGCAGATATGCAGGTGAACTCCATCGTCTTGCACACCAAAGTCTTCAGTTCTCCCCACACTACTCACTCCAACCACCAAGTATCCTCATTAAATACACAATACACTGCTCAAAAACCAGTGGGGAAATGAGAGCTAGAAATACACTCAGTACAAAATAAACAGGAGACTTGAAGTTACGTAGATATGCCAAAATAAAGTTTACTGAGTTTCCGGCACTAGCTGTATTTTAACTTATATTAAAATACCCAAGAATTTCTAGCCTGAAGCACTAGCAATCAAAGGATGTGTTTCCCAGAACTCTGATCCCCTCACTAGGCAGTATTTGGCATGCCAGTCACAGGGTTTAAGTGAGAGAAAGAATTAACGTGCTCCAATAGATAGATCATTGGGACTGGGAGTCAGCAAACCTCTGTCTATTCCTGGCTCTCTTAATCTCCTGCTGTGTGACCGGGTCATGTCACATCACCTCTCCAGAGCTTTTGTTTCCACAGCCACCCTTTGTCTGTCTTGTCTATTTAGACTGTAAATAAAATTGAGGTAGGTATTGTCTTGGTTTGCCTGATGCTGATGAAATGAGGCCTCAATCTTGGTTGGGCTCCAGTAATGCAAATAAAGAAGGGAACTCAAAACTTGAGGTCATGGGTGCACCCGATGCTCTCCACCCCTAAGTGTGGGTCCCAAGTGTCCAGCAATGAACGAAGCACTGCAGGGCTTTAATGTCCCCACCAGGTCAGCCTCTCTGAGCCGAGCAGAGCAGCAGTGCAGGCTGAGTGGAGATGCCAAGCCTGGGGGCACAGCTGTCCCATCATGGAAAGCTGTCACATTTCCTCTGCTCTGTACCACAGAACACATTCCCCCTCTCGAGGAGCCCTTGGGATGATGGCACAGTCACCCAGTGGAGCGCTGAACAAATGCTTCTGCCATCAGTTTTCCAAATTGTCTTCCTCAAATAAACAAACCATCAACTCCCAACACCAACACCTGTCCTTTCCCAAATCAGTATTTTCCCAACCCTTTGAGGTATCTCTCACCCTGGGCATCTCTTCAAAGGCATTTATAAAGCATCACCTATGGTGCTTCATGCCAGTTCCAAGAGCCCATGTCTTTGGTGAGTGTTCTGTCCATTTCCTGGCACCTACACATGAGGTTAGCTGAGCCCAAAGGTGGGACTGCCAACAAACTGCCCAGTGCCCTGGGCCTGCTTCTCTGCATGGGTACGTGTTTCTGTTGAATTACTCGTGGAAAGATATTTTGGTCCCTCCAAGGCAACTGTGGAAAGAAAACAGAAGTCAACTAATAAAAATTCAGGACAAGAGCCTGGGCTGTAAGTTCAGGGAAGCAGCCTAAGGTTAGAAGTTTTGCAGCTGACAGAGGAGAAAGAGCAGAACCACCAACCTGAGTGGCCCCTAACATTCAGACTGTTTTTTACATATCAACTTTTATTGAACAGGAAAAGTTGGTAGATATTTTTAAACTTTATTCTGATTTACTGGCATGAGAAGTGCCCTGCATATTTTTCATCCATTGCAGGCTTCAAGTCTTCCTTGTATTGGCTAATCCAACAATGCAGGGGTTTCCCCTCTTGTCACTAAGATGGCCATGATCAGGAACTGAGAGCCTGTTAAATCAATATGGGAAGGGCCCTGTTCTGTCTTTTCAACCACTCCAGTCTCTAAATAAGAAAGCAGTGTTTGCCTTCAGTTGGCATTGTGAAAGTGGCACTGTAGATCACTGAACACTGCAGAGACTGAACTGAAAGTCTTGTTAAATAACTGGCTGTGTTCAAACTACCTCCCAAAAGAAATAATGCTGCCACAGAAAGAGTCCTGCCTGCCAGTGAGGAGGGATCAGCCAGCTCCTTGACCTGTGAGAAGCCAACCCTGCCTCCTTGGGCAAGGTGCAGGCTAGACTAGGAGTTTATGTACAAGTTTTGGCTCTGCTTTGGAACCTTGAGCAGTGCAGAGAAAAGCCACCTCTCTGTTGAAAAGAGAGGTGCCTGTCTGGCTCACCAGACAAAGGAACAGAGACATATATGGCTCCTGGTCTCTGCTCACCACGACGATGGCTGAATTCTGTTCTGCAAGGTGAAAGTTTCTGACCCTTGCATCAAAACCATTTATCTGTCAGTGCAGAAGATTATTGTCAAAAGTGTTTCTGCACCTTTTGATGACAGGAGAAAAGGAGGATGGCTTGAAATTCTGTCACTGCCAACTGTGGCTTTCATTAAACACTTT